ACGTCGCATATTTTAAAATTATGCAACATATTTTGGCATAGTTTACGACTCGCATATGTAAATCCACCTCATAATTTACCATATGTGAGAAGTTTTCATATATCCAAATCCAACGTTGGATATTTTATGTTATGCGACATATTTTTGCATAATAGGGCCATGACGGGCAAGGCCTTGAACTTCATCCCTTTTTTACTCTATCCAGAATACCGATTTAGATTAGTTTACGACTTGCATATCCAAATCCACTGAATAATTTACCATATGCGATAGCATTTCGCATATTCATAGATCGCATATCCAAATCGAATATCGCATATTTTATGTTATGCGACATGTTTCACATAATTTACATTTCGCATATCCAAAGCCACTGCTTAACTTACCATATGCGTTAACGTTTCGCATATTCAATAATCGCATATCCAAATCGAACGTCGAATATTTTATGTTGTACGATATTTCTTCGCATAGTTTACAACTCGCATATCCAAATCCACCGCATAATTTACCATATGAGATAACGTACTTCACATTCAGGAATCGCATATGTAAATCAAACGTCGCATATTTAATGATCGTGTGACAATGTTCGCATAGTTTACTACTCGTATATCCATATCTATAATGCCGTATAATTTACGATTATGCGTAATATATTTGCGTATTTAAGAATTACACATAAGTAGCATGATTTAGTACTCTCCGCCATTTTTTCGTTGATCCATATCATGAATTTCATATCTGAAGAAAACATTTCGTATATTATTCGTATAGTTTATGCACCGCACTGATTGTCTGATTTTTCACGTACAAAACTTAGACAAATAGCATTAGACAGATGACATGTAACTACATTAGTTGTCGATGTATATATTCCATGATTATTACTACTCATGAATTGTAAGATTTAATTGCTAACATCTCACTTCTTGAAAGCAAAAACAAATAAAAAAACACTAGCAAGAGTAAAATCCTTATATTCTAATTGCAACCAGAAAAAGAATTAAAAAAAAAAAACTAGGCATATTGCAGAAAAATAAATGGATAGGATTTCACGCAATAGCAAATCGTGATCCGCTTCATGGCGCAGAGTGCACCGAGAGTCAAGAGGATGCTTGCTACCGAGTATTTTTAAATAAGTGACGTGAGATGACAGACATACACCGAGGCCATGCGTTCAATTCCTTGTGGCCATAAATTGCACGTTTTCTGAGCCGCACATTAAGTAATGCCTTGAAGAAAGAGTATTCTATTGCCCAAGTCCGGGGAAAGATTCAACGACTCAGAAATTATTTCGATACTTTTTCAAGTTTCATGTTGATTTCAGAAGTCTGAGTGTGTGGTATTGTTGGTCGTGTTAGTATTAACCACATGTATTGATTGTACGTAGGCGAGGTAAAATGATTTTTTATTTTAGTTTGTTCGTGCATTTTGCAACACGGTCATAACCCTAAAAAGTTTGAAATTTAATACTCAGGAAGAGATAGACGCTCAAGCATTTTCAGTTGGTGCGGATTCTCTTAGTATCATGAGTGTTACAAGGTTTTTACCGAGCGCAACGCTGTGGTGATCGACTTAGAAGGCGGGCCTGGTGCTTCAGTTGACGACCCAATCTAGGGGAAAGACATAGATGATAATAGTACTGACGATGACGGTGACGATTAGATCCATCCGCCCCCACCGCAGGTGGAAGTCATCGATCTCGACCCTGAGAATCTACCGGAATAAATTGGAAAACTAAGTTGTCTATTTCATCACACAGAGTTAACGGGAGTTTAGTACTCTGCATTTGGAACATAGATGATGATAGCACTGACGATGACGGTGGTGATCAGATCCATACACCTCCACCGCAGGTGGAAGTTATCGATCTCGACCCTGAGAATCTACCGGAATAAATTGGAAAGCCACATGTATATCAACTTACGTTGGTTATCTTATTTTGTTGGACACTGGGGGATTGCAACAATAACGATTTTTTTTTCTTGTGTCAAGTATTTTTTTAATCTAGATTAATGTCTTAAAAAAATATTTTGCATGGATAATGAATCATTAATGTCCGGCTATATAGATTTCCAGCAAAATTAGCGACAATGTTTGAAGGGAAACTTTAGTTGAATGGAATTTCGAAGAACTACGTAACAAGTGTGATATATCGTATAGTGTATAATGAGAAAAAAAAATAAGTAAACGATATCATAGAACTGCGAACAATATGCAGGTTATAACAGAATGACAAAAAAAATCAATATAAATAAACTAGAAAGGGTGAAACTTACTCCAATCAGTATGGTAATTGTAATCACATATCCAGATCAACCGCATAGTTTTCGACTCGCATATCAAAATCATAATATCGAATATTCCCTAATCGCATATCCAAATTGACGCCGAATAATTTACGACTATCAACCATCTTTTTTGCATTTCTCTATCAACCTTGAATAATTTATCAATATGCGAACATGTTCCGAATATTGTTCGCATAATACAAACCTCATTTACTGATTTTTTTTCACGTAGGTTTAGACATGCAAGATGTGGAACTTTTTGTCCGAAATCTTATTGGTCGTCACTCCAAGCAAGATGTTGAATTTCTTCTTCATGCCTAAATTTACTACCATTAATATTTTTTTTTATTCAAACTTTTGAAATTTACTGCATGTATTTTTTTTTTTTTTTNTTTTTTTTTTTTTTTGTCGTTTCAACTCTTTTTGGGTCGAGTTGAAGCAATGACTAAAAATAGGTCGGTAATGACATACCATGTTGCATTTTCGAGTTGTTTAGATGTTGGTAGTTCTTAGTAATCGCATACAGTACGTACTTCTGAGTTGATTGGTAAAAACAGGTCTCCAAATTACTACAATATCAATAGTTCTTAAGAAAGATAAAATCGCATACAGTACACATTTCTGACTTAATTGGTAAAAACAGATCTCCAAATTACTATAATATCGACAATTCTTAAGAAAGATAATGTATTATAATAATTCATTTAAAAAATCTCTACACACATGGTAATTTAAAAAGCACACTTTTTCGAACTTGAAATAATTTCTAATTATTTAGTTTCCAAATGATAAAGAATGTTTCTTATTTTGTACTCTTTTATATTTTACACATAAATCATATTTCAAACTATTTTGTTTCACATTTCAGATTTTTCGTTCAAAATCCGAGAGTATGACTTTGAAAATTTTCAGATTCTTTCTTTCTTTCTTTCCTTTTTTTTNTTCTTCACTCAAACAATGAATTAGCCATTTGGATTGCCTTATGGTCATCCATTACCAGATATCCTCGTGATGAATGGAATGATTGGCTATGAAATATATCAGAGCTGTTACAATTCCATAAAGTATTCTTATGGAGGTTCAACCCACTTGATCAAGGAGCTGCCAAGGAACTCCATCTCAAATTAAAGCGTAAGTACCTCAAGAAAGGCATGTCACTTTGCTTAGACTCATAAAGAATGTAAAAAGATGTTGAAAGGTCCAAGAGACCTATGCTTAAGGTCCGCATAATGAGAATGTTTTTACGAGACTGGGGCAGCACATTCAATAAGTGTCTCGAGATTGTTTGCACGATAAAAATGTAAGCCGAATTGTTTTGAAATATTTTTTCTATGAAACATATATTTATATATTCATGTTTTGATGTTGCTTAATACACATATTTTTCATTTTACTTTTTTTTTTTTATTGTTTAGGGCGATCGCATTACGACTTGGGTGCGGGCAGTCACCATGCCAAAGTTTAAGAGAGGAATTTTGAGTAGGGTATGGTTATTGGTATTCAAAATCATCAAGTGGAAAACAACATTGGTAAGTATTGTTCTACGGCCGATCAGTTTAAAATCATATTGCATGGCAGCACTCCAATTTAGGAAGTCCAAGGAAAATTTTCCTATGTTTCGATTTGATTTTAAAGACTTTGCAACTACAAGATGTCAACAAAATCGATATATCGATGTTATTCGGTAAGATGTTTTGGTGTTGTTTCGAAACTTATTTATTTATTTTTAAACAATAAAAAATAAATAAGTTATTTACAAATTGAATTGTTTGTAGATGTTATTGGATTGGTTATTGATTAATGTTCAAAGTGTATAAGATAAACAAGTGAAAACCGGTGATACACAAATGATTGCATTATATTGTGATTCAGCAGAGTTATAACGTTTACTAAAATGTAACATGTCTGAACAAAAAGGGCTTAAGTACATATATACGAGATTAAGTTTTGTGTTTTCCATGTAGACGAGCCAAAAAAGTTCGAATACATATATATGAACCATTTGAACTTACTTTTTATCCTTACGAGCTATTAAACTTAGTTCCAAATATTGATATTGAAATCTAATTAAATACACTTGTGTGAGATATGGAAAGAAGATCAAATCAAATGACACCTCTTTTTCTAGGAAAGAAGATCAAATCAAATGACACCTCTTTTTCTATCTCATAAATTGCAGCAGTTACTTATATGATTAAGATATTTTAATTTTTTTTTAAAAACTAAAACATGTTGTTTAGATTAAAAAAAAACATTTATCTTCTCAACTTTTACATAAATGAACAAATACATCACTTTCTCGAAAAAGCTACTAACTAACCACAACTAAACTAGAAAATGTCAATCTTAGGATCAGTAATGACCTTGACATATAAAAGTAATCTAAAAATAAATTATGCATAAAAAATCAAAGGCACAGAAAAAAAAGTTGAATATAAACTAAAAATAAGAAATAAAAAATCAATAACATTGTTTTTCAGTTTATTTTATGTTTATTTCAAGTTTATTACATTATGTCTAAAATAACATTGTTTTAGTTTATTTTAAGTTTATATTCAGTTTATTCATTATCTCTAAAATTTATTTAAAATTAATTTAAAACTTTTGATTTCTCTTAAGTTTATTATCTATTTTTTATTAAATTACGAAAAATAAATAAACAAAATATTAAATGCAAAAAAAAATGAATATATATTAAAAAAAACAATCAATAATCGTAATTAAATCATCCATAAACATCAAATTAACACTCAAAATCGTTCAAAAACACAATTATATCCGCATTGAACTCATCCGGATTCAAGATCCGATCAAAATTCTATGTCATAGGCAATAATTTCACAATCTCTTTCAAACCACAACTTGATCTCAAGGCGGCAGGCGGCGCCGACGGCAGGAGGAAGGAGCCGGACATGGAGTAAATCTTGTGACGTCTGATCCGTTGACCACCTTCACTGTGTCGGACCGTACGGCGTGCGCTGTTGCCTGTGACAAGGATGGGCGTTTGACTCCGCCAGAGACAAATGATGGGTGGGGGAATTAATTGAAGTAATTTTAATATTTAAACAAACAAAGGTGGAATTAGGTGGAATTGAGATACGTATTATCTTGGTATCAAAAATATATATTCTCGTTCATTTGGGAAAAGAAACTTATGGGATCGTCCCCTGGGTAAGTATCTCAACAAAAAGTTGTCTCACATTTATCTCATCACAATCCTTGCCAATGCTACAAGTAAAATCATAGAAGGCAAGACCATGGTAATGGTTCTATTTAACCCTTGTAGTCATGCTAATCTCGTCATAGAATATCAACAACAGTTCCCATGCAAAGTCTGACAGTAGTCTGAACTGTGATCTGAAGTTAATTTCAACTAGTCCACAACACCTAAACTGTCATAGTTTGTGGCCGCTTGCAAATGTACAATGTTTACCCGGTACATATACATAGATACATGCTAAAACGTGGTAAATCAAATCGATTTTATATACCTAAACGTGGAAAGGTTTCCTTGGTGTTGGCGCTCGAGTCTCTAAGGACTGCAATCTCTGTTTCAGATGGAAAACTTCGACCTGCAAATTGGATTAACATGCAGAAAATCAAAAGATGGCAAACTTCAAAAGAATTGGCTCCACGAGAATAAACAAATAATATTTCGAGAATGGTGGTTAAGTTGAACAACGAGAGAGCTACCGAGCAAAGTGAAATTAGCAATATAACAGATTGCAGCGCAGGCAAAAAACTATCATTTTTATTGTTTCTGGAGACAATAAATATATCAACAAAACTAACATATATTGGAAAACTTGTTATACATATTTACACATTGGTAAAACTGCCCCTGCATTTCACCTAATTACAAAAGATTTAATTATCATGTAAAATAACAAGTACTCCCCCCTCGAGATTTGTGTTTCTCTACAAACACCCTAACAATCAAGGATATTTCATATTTTTCAATACAAACAAGTCACAAGAGAGGGTATTGCAACTTCAGAACATAACCACATTGGTTCGAAAACTATTCCTAACCTCAACTGTGGCAGTTTTTTTGCAGCTATCCATATTTATGAGCCATTAA